AGGATAATGCAGTATATTGTGTATTATTATGTTATATTATTACAGATTAATGCGGTATATTTTGTTATATTATTACTGGGTAATGCAGTATATAAATGTATTATTATGTTATATTATTAGAGGTTAATGTAGTATATTATGTAGTGGTATGTTATATTATTACAGGATAATGCAGTATATTGTGTATTATTATGTTGTATTATTACAGGGTAATGCAGTATATTATTGTGTATTATTATGTTATATTAGAGGTTATTGTAGTGTATAATGTAGTGATATGTTATATTATTACAAGGTAATGCAGTATATTATTGTGTATTACTATGTTACATTATTACAGGGTAATGCAGTATATTGTGTATTATTATGTTTTATTATTACAGGGTAATGCAGTATATTATTGTGTATTATTATGTTATATTAGAGGTTAATGTTGTGTATAATGTAGTGATATGTTGTATTATTACAGGGTAATGCAGTATACAATGTAATGCCTGATGTTATCAGTCGACTCTCAGATCCTGATGTTGGTGTAGATGAAGAAAACTTCAGAATTATAATGAGGTATATTATCTACTATTCTATATATCGTGGGTGACCGCTTGAGACCTCGTATATGCCATATTTGGTCATTTTGGCTTTTTGGTACCGCTCGTAAAAGAGCAGATCTTGTGATCAAATCCTCGTATTCTTAGCTTGATTGTAAATAACTCAAAAAGCGCTAATTAAATAACACGTATATAAACAGTCAGATTTAAAACCTCGTAAAATATATTATTATACAAGGTTCAATGTTCCTTTTCTGCGGATGAAAATGAAAAACCTCATATACTGTATTATTATACGAGTTTTTCGTTCAATAGGCCGGAGATACCAAATTGTTATACGAGGTTTATATTTTCCAAGAATGAAAACCATGTATGGCGGTAAAAAAAGATATTAACAAAATTCGCGTACAAATATTTTTTTGCGTTTTTCTCGAAAAGTAATTCCGCATTATATATCGTTGTACGAGGTTTCAAGCGGTCACCCACGATATATTTATTCCTCTAATTCCATTGTAATAATGATTATAATAATAATAACTTTAATTGGGATCTCATGATGAAACTTAAATTTTCAAAAAATTATAACTTAATGAAAAGTAACTATCTATTTCTTGCCTTTTTTACAGATATTTATTTAGTTTTATACAGAAAGATAAACAATGTGAAAGTTTAGTAGAAAAAATATGTCATCGTTATAGAGCTACTAGGTACGTTATAAAACTTCTGATTGCTTTTGAATCAAATAACTAATGTATGACATTATAACCTGATATAAGATAATCTATTTTGTTATTGTAGAGTTGATAATAAGTGGAGAGATTTATCGTCCTGTTTATCATTGTAAACATACATTGAAAAATGTTTTCGTAAACTCCAAGATAATCTATTTTGTTATTATAGAGTTGATAGACAGTGGAGAGATTTATCGTTCTGTTTATCATTGTTATCATACAATGAAAAATGTTTACGTAAACTACAAGAGAATTTACCATGTTATGCTGATAAAATGGTTGATGATGATGTTTATAGTTGTTTCTGTTCTATTATTAATAAATCTCGAACATTCTCTAAACCTGAAGCCAAGGTAAGTAGTGAATTGATTTGCTTTAAACTCAGTTGACAAGGTATTAAGATAATGATATATGTGTACAGAAAACCTCTACTCTACTTATGCTAAACAATAGTCTCTAGATGAATACAGAGCACTTGCAAATTAGCCAATCATATATCTCTGATTTTAAAGGATCATACATGTGATCTTTTTGTACACCCACATGAAAATGTGAACTTATATTGCTGTCCGTCTGTCAACATTTCGTGTAGCCACAATAGAGGCTACAGTCTTTTTCCAAGCTTTATGAAATGTGGTATACATGTATGTATTGATGAGATCTTGGTCAAGTTCGATTTTGGTAATTATCGGAAGAAGGTTTTTGGAGTATTGTCCTTGACTTAATAAAAATGCGTCAATTTTGTTTTGTATCCATTATAGAGGCTACAGTTTTTATCCAATCTTGATGAAACTTGGTATTCATGTTTATATTGATAAGATCTCAGTCAAGTGTGAAATTGTAATAATCGGATGAATGGTTTCAGAGTTATTGCCCTTGACTTAGTAAAAAACACTTCAAATTTGACTTGATTTTTATCCAATGTTGATTGAATTTGGCATGTTAGTATATATTGATGTGATCTCGGTCAAGGTCGACATTGTTAGTAATCGGATGTGAGTTATTGCCCTTGACTTAGTAAAAGCACATCAAATTTGACTTGTAGGCATTATAGAAGCTACAGTTTTTATCTGATCTGAATGAAACTTGGTATGCATATACTGATCAGATCTCAGCCAAGTTAGATATTGGATGTAAAAGAGCTATTGCCCTTGTATGTATGGCAATGTTTTATGATAATTTGATGAACTGTTTTGCTTTGACTTTTAAATATTTTTAAGATTATTTGAAAATTCATTGTGAAGCTACTAAAGACTTTGTTATCATTTCTGATAGCTGGTAAGTGGGTGTATGTTACTTTGCTTGACAAGCTATCGTTTTTCAATATAATATTTGGAATCCCAAATGTAAGATAAATTGTATGCTAAATAAAGAAAGATCATGTTCGCACGACAGTTTAAATTTAACATTGATATTTATTAATATATCAGGCATTAATAGATGAATTAGAAGAAAAGTTAGAGAAATGTCATAATAGAGGTTTAGAAGAAGAAGAGATATGCCAGAAAGCCAGTACTGCTTCTGATGCTGCATCAAAATTAAAAACTAAACATAGAACTCCAGGCAAAGGCAGGAAAACGCCTGGTAGGTAAATACATTTTAATGCTTAATTAAGTAGATGTAGAGTTAATAGCATGGCCTAGATCTAGGTCTAGTATTGATATTAATAACATTATAATTGTTGTCACATCTATCTTCATCCTGAATTTGGAAGTACTAGAAATGTATGAAAATTGCATTTTTCCTTCAAAAATATCTCAAGCTAGGAATTTACTCACTATTGATTTGTCTTTTCTATAAATCACAGGATATCTTAAAATGATAGGTCATTTTTATACGCCCACATGAAATGGGGGGGGGGCCGTATATTGCCGTCACCCATGTCCGTCCATCGGTCCGTCCATCCACAATTGCTCGTAAACACTCTACAAGACACAATTTTAACGAAACTTGGCATGAGAGTTCGTAATCACCCAAGGATGAACCCTATTAAAAATCAGAAGAATCGAAAAATATTTAGTATGAGTTATTGCCCTTGTTCTTGAAAACACGTTCAATTTTTAGCTTGTAAACACTCTAGAAGAGACAATTCTTGACGGATTTTGACGAAACTTGGCATGAGTGTTTGTTATCACCCAAGAATGAACCTTATCGAAAATCACAAAAAAAAGAAAAATAATTAGTATGAGTTATTGTCCTTGTTCTTGAAAACGCGTTCAATTTTACCTTGTAAACACTCTAGAAGGGACAATTCTTGACGGATTTTGACGAAACTTGGTGTGAGTGTTTGTAATCACCCAAGGAAAAACACTATCGAAAATCAGAAAAATTGAAAAATATTTAGTATGAGTTATTGCCCATGTTCTTGAAAACATGTTTAATTTTTAGTCTGTAAACAGTCTAGATGGCCCAATTCTTGACAGATTTTGATAATATTATTCAGTATCGCCTCAAAAAGTTCAAAAGAAGTGTATGTCTGAAGGTTGAATATTTCATACTGGTGATTGTTACTGTACTGCTAAATATTTTTATTTAAGATCAAAGCTGCCGGTGGGTGTATATATTCTTGCCTGGCAAGCTATCTTAACATTCAGATGCAGATGAAGACCCAAATTTTGATGGTGAGCGGTGAACACTATTACTGACTGGCCTTTCTAAAAATTCCCACTTCTGATAATAAGGTATGATTGGTCAAAAAGAATGGTGAATCTGTCCCTTTAAACTACAAGAATGCGAATAAACTTAATAAATCGTCATTGATTTACAAATGCAAAATTTTATGTCCTATTTAACTATCTTTTACAGCCCGAGGAAGAAAAAATAAAGAAAATGTACCATCAGATGATGATAGTCCTATAGCTAATCAAAAGACACGAAATAAAAGCGGAAGAAAATCCAAGCCGAAGGTATCATTTAGTTCAGATGAGGAGACTGATGTGGAATTATTTGATATAGATGACAAAGGTTTGTTTATTATTAATATATATCAGTTGACCTGTATCTTGTGAATATGATTGAGATATCTGTATATAAGGTATGGTATGTATTACTATTGACACCTTGATAAAAAGCACACGTTTAATGTCTTGAAAATTTGTTTTTTTACAGTGGACAATTTCCAGCCAAATTTTGGGATTTTTTAGGTTGAAGTTTCTAAAGAGAATGTGTTTCTGTGTTAAACTTAAAAAAAAATTATATTTCTATCACTACAAAGACATTATAAAAAATGTAGAAAAAATCCATCCATGATGATCAATGATCTGGCAAACTTGTTAAGCTTAAAATGCTCTGTTCAGTAATATATTTATTTACTGAGTAAAAATGTCTGAATCTCAAATTGTCAAAGATGTTATAGGAACAACTTTTGTGATAATCAAATAAAATTTAGTTTTTATTATATATCCACATGAAAATGTTGTATCTAAGATTTTGATGTCATAAATCTTCTGAGGTCATATTATCAAGAATCAAATTGCCTACCACCATTTTGTGATTTGTCTCTTCTCTTGTAATGTGGTTTCTAAAATTGTGAGGTCATAAACCTTATGCCTTCCACCATTTGTAGTTTGTTTCTTCTCCTGATGAAGTCAAAACTTTTTGACGAAACATTGGGTATTATAGGATGGTATTTGATGTCTAGTTTTATAATTTATTACACATGAAAATGTGGTTGTATATTACGGTTACTCCTGTAGCTCCGTCCGTCAGCATTTCTTGACTACAATAGAGACTACAGTTTTCATCTGATTTTGATTAAACTGGGTGTGAGCATCAGTTAAGTTCGAATTTGATGATTTTTCGACAAACCGATTTTAAGTTATTGCCCTTGGCTTAGTAAACTCGAAGCTACAATTTTTAGTGGATTTTGATGTGATCATATATTTATATTGGAAAAGTTTGCAATTGACTAAAATTTGTTAATTATTGCCCTTGTCTTAAAACATGTCAAATTTGTTCAAATAAAGTCCATTTTTAATTCCATTTGAAACTTTAAAATTGACAAATTGAGTAAGGAGTTGATTATCAAAAAGAAACTTGACAGATTAATCATTATGGTTCATGTTGCACTTTAGTCTAAAAATTTAACAAAGCTGCTGTGTGGACTTATGTTTACCTGGCCTGGCAATCTATCTTTCTTTTTTCAGGTGATGAAAATGATGATTTGGAAGAAATTTTTTCGCCAAAACCAAATTCAGCCAAAAAGTCTTGTAATGGACGTGTACCGTTAGGAAATAGACAGTCATCACATAGTACTGCAGATTAACATAACATTACTATTAATGTGTATTTATAGACTGTTTTCAATTAATTCTTAGGACTATCAATAAATCTGAGCTTTAAATGTAATCTTTCTTTTAATGCTGCCTTTTAATGAGATACACGCTTGTTCACAGTAAATTGGTCACAAGGTAGACTGGTCACTTTAATTTGAAATATAAATTGATCAAGTTACTGCATCCATTTTACAATCTGACCAATTTCTCTTGTGGGTATATTACTGTACATTCTGGATGGCTGATCAAAACAAAACTCCTCTTTTATCTTTATTTTAAAACCATAAAAATAGAAAGTTATTTACATCCCTGTTAATATCTTACAAGAAAAATAACAAACAAAATATATACTGGTGAGACATTTCATTAATATATTGGTATAGGTAATATTAAGAGGGGCATTGTATATCTGATAAAAAATATAGATGCCATGACTTACTTTTAACATGATCATAAAGATATGTTGAGTGGCTTTCTTTTAAAGATCATCTCACATACATCAAATGCTGTATTGTGGAATATATACACAAGTGTTGTTTACATTAATATATATATATATAAAAATTAGCCAGAGATTTGTTGAGGCTAGCAGTAAATATTATTAATAAAAAAAAACATTTTTTGACACAATGATATGTTATGTTTGTTGGGGCAAGTGAACGTAAGGGGATGATGAGATTGTAATCACTCCCGTCTCACTATACATCTACAGAGTAAATCATGCTTTAACTTCAATTTAAACTAGTTACACCATGGCTTAGTGCCACCCAGTTCAGTTTATACAAGGAAAAGATCAAGGAATTGTTTTTAGATATATTTAGAAGCATACAAATTGAGTAAGATAAAAAAAAAGAGGTCAGAAAATGGACATCATTTTTACAGAGAATATCTTCTCCATTATGCTCTTTTCCTATATACAGTTTTGGGTACTTTAATATAACATTGAATGTTTATATAAATTTTTTATTTTTCTGCCATAAATTGATTAATGTGTATTTTCATTTTTGATAAGTTCTGCAGTGTACTAACAATTTATCTGCTTTGATATTCATATAAAATTTTCCTTCAAAATTACTATTAAAACCTCAAGAACCTAAATAAATCCCCCCAAAAAATTAGATCTCTTCCCTCCATTTAAGAAAAAATAATCAACAATATTTACATTATCAGCCATAAAGTCATAAATAATTATTTAAATAACGTGGAATGCCACAAACCAAATGAAATAAGCAAACATAAGAAACTTCTTCCACTACAAATTTTAATGCAAACTGTTCCTGGACCCAGTTATTATGTTTAATGTCTGTCAGGAGGCCTGATACAAGCCATCCAGTTTCACAGTAGTTTCATATTTCTATTTTCCCTCAGGAATCACTTTATGGAAACACGATGTTTGAATAAAATTTGGCTCAATAATGAAATAATTAAAAAATATACCCACTTAGATAAAATCATCCAATTCTAAAAAAAAAAACCTACTAGAATTCATCATGAACGTTCCTGGCAAAGTCTGCTAATTTACTAGAAAGAAATATATCTTTTCTATCCATGATTTCTCCTATTGATAACTTATTGTCTTTATTTACATCTATTAAACTAATCAAACTTTTAGCTTCCATTTTAGCCTGTATTGGATTTCGAGGATCAATATATTTCTGTAAAAGAAATTTGTATAAAAGATTAAAACAAGTGATCAATCATCTTGTATAAAAATATATCAACCACAACCACTGAGTTGATCCGGTGCATTGTGGCTTAAACTTTCAAGTAAATATGACTATGTATGTACATAAGTAGTGATTGGCCAGCTTTAAAATCAAATTCCCTGTCAACCACTTCGATTTAGCATTGACAAAGTGTCAACTCACTTTAATTAGAGTATGTGGTAGGCATTTATCAAAGCCAAACTTTCTTAGTAAACTTACAAAAATTAAGAAAAATTTCTTACATGTACTTCTTCTTTTGTAGCTTTACCATCACGATCTATATCTACAGCAATATGGAATTCATTTTCTCTTTCTTTCTGCCATTGTCTATCTAAATCTTTTTGGTCTTCACCTTCTACCTCGCCTGGTGGAAGTGCTGCAAACTCCTGTACTGTCAATATGTTATCACCATTTTTATCTACAAAATAGTCAGAATTCATACATACATATTGACACAGGAGCTTTCCTCACCTAGGTCATGTAGGCTAAGAACTAAAACAGGCTGTATAGCATTTAACTTTATCATAAGATCTAGGTAACAAAATTTCCAAATGTACTCCATTTTATATAAAACCTAAGAAATATATCACACCACTCTTTACTGTCTTTTACTTTAATTCTTTTACCTACCTAGTGCATTAATAATACTAAAAACCATATTGTTTAATGATTTAGGAGATTGTTCTGGATGACGGAATGATAGAAATTCTTCTTTTGTTAATTCATTATCTTCTGGTTCTTCATCCGCATCAGCCCATCGAAATTTGTACCTTATTAGGTCTTCTTTATCTAAAATAAGACAACATCTAATATTTGACAACAACAGTGAAAGGTTAATCTAACTTTAACCAGAATTTTCTCTTGTCAGCTTGTTAAAAAATTTTCTAAACAGCATCTGAACAATGATGTGGAATTTGAGAGATAAAACATAGCTATAACTATAGGAGAACTATAATTACCATCACTATCTAATTCAACTATATCATAATCTATCACATGTTTCCTAGCTTTCTCTTCAGGTACATCCATAGCCAATAAAAAGTGTACATAGTATTCTTTCCAATGTACTTTTCCTGAAATATATAATTAATTAAGAGATAGGCTGTTTAATTATTATTATAAAATTAGCAGTGGTAGGCTATCAAAAGGGAGTTATCAACATATCCATTTCAAGGATGTATGTAGATAGATATATGGTATAATACATTTGCTAAACAATTACCTGTACTTATTTTAGTATATTATTTCTAGCAGCTCAAATTGTATCTGAAAAAATTACTTTATTATCGGTGGGTGTAAAATTCTGAATTCTGAACTCTCCAAATTGAGTCAAAAAAGACCTAAAAAATCAAGACTTAAATCTCCCCAAAGGATGTGCATAAATTTGGAAATGACAGGTAATTAATAGTTCTTAAAAATAATTTTGCTTCTCGTGCACTATTATTTAAGTTAGGTAAATCATTACTATTTTGACAATCAATTGATATAATTTAATCATTAATTAGCATATTATCACCATCACGTTGAACAGTGTCATTGATATCCAAATCTTATTTGATGAGATTAACTAAGCCTATTCTGATAATGGGGGTCTAAATGACTGCCTGGATGCTACAAAATTTCCAAAGCCGTGTTGGGGATGGGGATGTTGGGAACCGATTGAACTAGGCTAGAATTTCTGATATTATTTAAAAACAATATTGCTCTCAAATCAATGGGTATCATGGGCTATTTTGTCACTGACCACAAATAAATAATTATTGTAATTTAATAATAAAATCATATCTATTGATTGTTAGTGTTAGATTGAATAAGAATACTAAAATTAATGTACATGAAGAAGCATAGTAAAATATGAAGATTCTTTCGCTGTCAATCACAAATTTGTGGACAGCCTTTGGCGCAACTTTAGTCTCGTTCTTTAGGTCTTTTCTGACCCAATTTGGAGATTTTTACACCCACCACTTTATTATGACTACTGAAACACAATTTTCAAATCTGTATCAATTTGATGTTCAAACTTACCATTGCCATCTGGATCTAAATGTTTAAATATTTGTTCATTTTCTGTTATAGCCTCATCAAAATGTTCCTGCATTTTTTGTTTGATCCAATCCTCCATTTCTAATTCACTTAAGGATCCATCTGTATCAAGATCCACTCTGAGAAAAAAAAAAAAAAAGTTTATAACACAATGCATACATGTAGTAGGGCAATTTTTCAGTTTAATTTAGAACTTTAAGCCAAAATCGGAGTTAATATTTAAAAAAATTATAAAAAACACAATGTTTAGTATAGATGCTGAATTGCAATGCTAAATATTCAATTTCAAAATTAATTCAGAGCTTTAAGCCAATATTTTAAGTAGATTCTCAAAGAAATAATGATATTAAGATAAAGTAAAATTATGTAGGCTTCTAAATATAATACTTGTAAATTTCTGCCATTATTGACACTTTCACATGCAGTTACTACAATGATAAATGATGTCCCCGATTGCCAATTAAAAATTCTTTCTGCTATAAAACATGGCCTGTTTTTTGGCCATTAGATCTACATCAAAATTGAAAAAGAACAAACTTTTTAAAAATGTCTTTCATTTTAGCATCTGCTGATTTAGAATCACTTTCAATCTCTTCATGATCTCCAAGAAATAATTCTTTATGATATTCCTTATTGATATGCCCATCATGTTCCATCTTTAATGCATCAATATGGTCTTGTGGCTTTAATTTATCTAAAGTTAACTTATCACTTTCTCCTTTCACAAATTTAAATGGTTTACTGTATACTTTCGAGACATAGATCATATGAATAGTGAAAACAAGGCAAGTTATTTGTTGACACAACTCTGTTCTTAAAAAATACATTTCTGATTTAAGAATTAAACTTTCTTTAGTCTACACTTCAAGAAAATATGTTAACCACTGAAATGAGTTAATTTCTCCAGGTCCGAAGAATGGGGTATCAATCAATAACAACTAAAGATCATCAACACAAAATCAAAACCGATAGATCACAATACTTAAATAAACGAAATTATTGACTAAAACAAAATGTAACTATCACAAATCAGTTTGTCCAGTGCAGTTGAAGTCCTGTGATCCCATATCCACGAACTTTATTTTGCTCCAATAATTGGTTATGCCTATGACAGAAGTTAGCAAAGGTCACTGGTTTAAAGGGTCAAATTTTTTGCCCTAGGCTTCCAAAACTGTAGATATTTATCAATTTTGTGTTGTGTCACATATAAATAAGTTAAAAAATTAGATTAAACAAACATGACGGGTTATCGTTCTTGGAGTAAATTCCCATTCTGGTTTCAGGTCGAAACTAGATCTGGTTGGGTCAAGGACACCAAGATGAACTCTTTACTCAAAATCATGAAATCAATTAGTTCCAGGCAATACCATCAATAAAATCTAGTTATGATGAGGGAATAAGTTAGAAAACTAATGCCATGTTATAACTTATATTTCAGACACTTTCACTTGAATAAATTACGTGGTAGATTTTATATTCGTCAGATAAATACATAAGGCGCGTAGCAATATTTAGATAAAGAAGCGTAGAAGAGCTGAAAATGGCGGACGTCGTGGTGGATCCACTCTCTGTGAAAGATTTTAGTCGTGTTATTTTAACACTTGATAATGTTTTAATACCGGCAGATAAGTTGTCTACCACACCGTCCATGCAAGATGGGTTAGATTTGGACACAGAAATAGATCTTCGTTTTCTTGGATGTGAATTAATCCAAACGGCAGGAATTTTGTTAAAACTTCCTCAGGTAAAGTAGTTCGGTGTTTTAAGTTTTGCTTTTACTGTTACAAGACAAAACGCTGTTAATACGTTTCTGTTAATAACATTTTATTAGATCTATTAGTAAATTTACATTATCGTTTATTTATATTTTTTGTTGCTCGTGTATTTCAGGTGGCTATGGCGACAGGACAAGTCATATTTCAGAGATTTTACTACTCCAAATCCTTTGTTAAACATAACATGGAGGTAAGTCGTCTAACCTATTTTATTCCTATGACCTAATTATGACGTCATTTATGTTTTTAGGTTAAGTTTTTAGAGGACTAATTTTAATACATGTATGTCATTTCTTATAATTTCATTGGCTTTTAGGTTTGCTGAAGTATTGAAAATTGAAATTTTATTTTATTTGAATATTTATCATTTTAACAAAGCTTTTTTGTTATTATTACATAAAAGTTCTCCTTTGAACCAAGAAAAAGAACCTGTTTGAACACATTGAATTTTCTTATCTATCAAATGTCAGGTTTTGCCATTTCAGGTTGTTGCTATGGCATGCACCAATTTAGCCTCAAAGATAGAAGAATGTCCCAGAAGAATACGGGATGTTGTAAATGTGTTTCATCACGTAAAGCAAGTTCGGAGTGGAAGGTGAGGATCAGTTTTGCAATTTTGAACTTCATTTTGAAAGTTAATATTTAATTTTCTTATAGGTGCGGTTTTGTTGACTTATTGTGTCAGTTATTTTGTTTTTATCAAGAATGGTATGTTTGTGTCTGCAATTTTATGTCCTACTTAATTGATTGTAAGCAGGAGGTTGTGTCTATATAAGCATTGTATCTAAGCCTTGATGTGGAAATACTTCTGTGTCTAATTCTTGATCTAAGCAACAGGTTGTAAGAAGAATCATGGATAACTCTTGCTATATGTTAAACTCAACATTTGCATGCTTTGATAAGGTTGTACACAGCTATCTTGTTCAGGCCTAACATTGTCTTTTTTCTTTTTTTTTTCTGCCATCACAGTGTTTAGAAGACCAGCTATGTGACTAGTAAAAGGTTGGTGAGGTGGAAATACAGTATGATATATTTAATATCCCACCCTGCCTTGTCACCAAATTGATATGGTTTGTATAATTCAGGTTTGATTATTTAAAACCAGTGCTTTTTTATGTTTCTTTTTCTTCTGAAAGCTTTATCTTTCCTTAGACTTAATACTATACTTCAGCCAATCTCAGATATATTTGAGATGATCACTTTGTGAAGTAAGGTGTTGAGACATTGTTATCCATGATAACACAGATAAACAGTAAGACTGTAAAAAGATTAGAGAACAACCTGTGCCTAGGATACCTTCTAATAAAATTTTATTTTATAGCTTATCAAAGTGAAATACATCTGTGTAAGAGTAATTGTAAAGACCAACGATGTATCTTAATTCTGAAGAAGAGTTATAGAATGGCATGTGGATGAAGACTACATGCCTTACGAATGATTGAAATTGATACAGACTTCTTCATTATTTTGTTTCACCAGCTGTATTTGTTACTGGTAAAATATGAATTGGTAAATCATCATAAATGATTTGAAACAATTGTGTCATGAAAATGTTTTTTTCTAAATATTAGGCTACAGCTTCACATGTTATTGAAGCAATATTTGATAAAAAAAAAAAAGAAAAGACTACCTATTTAAAAACACTGCAAATCATAAATTTTTATCCAATTATTACTGTAAATTACAGGCTTAAATGAAAAAAATTCATTACATCTCCTGGATTCTTCTTACATTTTGTGAAGATGTATTATGTTAATTTGTGTGATCCTCTAAATCAATGTTTGATTTGCTTGTTACAGATAACCATCCCATGGGTTTTGTATCTGAAATCTCTAATCATTAACAGTATTTTGAAGAGTTTTTCCAATCTTTTAAAGTGAATTGGTGATACCGATAGTGAGGACCAGGCAAATATGAATGATACATATAGAAGCTATAAATGATCTGATACACAATAATGATATATAAAAAAAACTTAAAATTCCATTTACGCACATTCTCATGAAACAGAATTTAAAACTTGTGGAATGATAGAAACAACTATGTTTGTTGATCCTTTTAAACAATGTGAACTTGGTCTTTTAAAATGAGTTATTCACCATTGCTTTATTATACTGCCAATTATTTCTTGTGTTTCAAAACTGATTATAAGATAGAAAATTGAAATTGACATTTCAAAGTGGAAATTGATTGGAAAAGGCTCAAAGTATTGAAACTCAGATAAAACAAATATGATTGGATATTATTAAACACACAAGGTAATGTTATAACCACAAACATTACATTTAAGCAAATAGATTACTTTGAAAAGACTTTGTTTTCTTGGAGTTTTAAAATTATTCTAAATAGCATTCCTTAAAAATTGAATCATAAATGTAATATTTCAGGGCCAGATAACGAAGGAATCATATGTTAAAATTTGGTTGCAAATCCTCAAATTTCTTGAAATAAAAATTGGAGGAACTGAAACCGACAAATTTTAGTCTAAAATCACAAGTGAAATGTCTCTAACAATTACCTCATTATTATATGAAATTTTGAATGTTGTCACTCCAGCAGCAACAATGAGTTATATTTGATTAAAGACATGCGTAAGGTTTTGCTTGTGAGATGTGCTTACTTCATGTATTACTGTAGAACAGTTTCAACAATGTAATCTGAATTTGGTTGAATTTAGATACAATTTGTGTCCTGTATGTTCATTTATTGGTGATGTACATGATACATTTTATGATGTTTTCATAGACTTGGGAGTAAATATCTGCTGTTGGAGCTGATTGCTTTTCTGCTTTATCAGCTCGAATTTCAACTAATTGTGTCATTTTTCTGAAACGTAATCCAACGCCTCCTTCTACAAGTGTACAAAAATGTACCATTCCAATTTAGACTTGTAAAAGGCATTTTTAATCTTCTTGCATGTAGCAGAGACATTATAATATGTTGGGATGATCTTACATAAATTTTTTGTTAAAAGTATTGTAGATAGAGGAAATATTTTGCTAAAAGCAATAAAAACTACAGACCAAAATCTAAAGGAATATGTTCCTTGTTTATCTTTTAACTGAAGGTATCTAGCTGTTGATTTTTAAATTTTTTGTTAGTATTTAAGCAATCTCCTCATTCTGAAGTTTTCATCTAAAAATGTCCCTTTACTCCAAACCAAGACTTGTTTAAACTGGTTATATAACAATTAGATCTGTTTCTCAATTACATAAAATTCAGATTGCTTAAGGAGATACATAGAAGTATGGTCGGCAGTATAAATTCATGTAAAAAGTTAAATTATGTAAAAAGTAAAAGATTTAACCTGAGTGGTCGGCAGTATGAATTTATAAAAAGATTTAACCTGAATGGTCGGCAGTATAAATTTATGTAAAAAGTGAAATTATGTAAAAAGTAAAAGATTTAATCTGAATGGTTGGCAGTATAAATTTATGTAAAAAGTGAAATTATGTAAAAAGTAAAAGATTTAACCTGAATGGTCGGCAGTATAAATTTATGTAAAAAGTGAAATTATGTAAAAAGTAAAAGATTTAATCTGAATGGTTGGCAGTATAAATTTATGTAAAAAGTGAAATTATGTAAAAAGTAAAAGATTTAACTTGAATGTTCAGCAGTATAAATTTATAAAAAGATTTAACCTGAATGGTTGGCAGTATGAATTTATAAAAAGATTTAACCTGAATGGTTGGCAGTATAAACTTATAAAAAGATTTAACCTGAATGGTTGGCAGTATAAATTTATAAAAAGATTTAACCTGAATGGTTGGCAGTATAAATTTATAAAAAGATTTAACCTGAGTGATCGGTAGTATAAATTAATGTAAAAAGTGAAATTATGTAAAAAGTAAAGATTTAACCTGAGTAGTCGGCAGTATGAATTTGTAAAAAAATTAAACCTAAATGGTCGGCAGTATAAATTTATGTAAAAAGTGAAATCATGTAAAAAGTAAAAGATTTAACCTGAATGTTCAGCAGTATAGATTTATGTAAAAAGTGAAATTATGTAAAAAGTAAAAGATTTAACCTGAATGTTCGACAGTATAGATTTATGTAAAAAGTGAAATTATGTAAAAAGTAAAAGATTTAACCTGAATGTTCGGCAGTATAGATTTATGTAAAAAGTGAAATTATGTAAAAAGTAAAAGATTTAACCTGAATTGTCGGCAGTATAGATTTATGTAAAAGTGAAATTATGTAAAAAGTAAAAGATTTAACCTGAATGTTCGACAGTATAGATTTATGTAAAAAGTGAAATTATGTAAAAAAATGAAATCATGTAAAAAGTAAAAGATTTAACCTGAATGTTCGGCAGTATAGATTTATAAAAGATTTATGTGTAAAATAGTTTGTTGTGCTGTTTAAAATTCCTTATTTTTTTTTTACTTTTCTAATAAATAAATTTTTGATATAGTTAGATGAGTATAGTTAAGTGAATCGCAATTACAACAAAAAACGTTGCAGCTATATTTTTAAGTTGATTTCTCAAATTTTTTCTCTTCAAAATGAGTTTTGTTCAACCTTGATTGAAAATAATTTGCAGATCTATTGGTCAGAAATTGATGTAAAATTAACATGTTCAGCTAGCATTTGGAACCCTTGATGTCCCTGGATTAGAAATGCCATTTTTGCATTTTAGTGACTATTTGTCTTGTTCAAGGCAAAAGTCATGATTGAAGTTCACAGTCAGATGTTACAAATTACAACAATACCCACTGCAGATTGGCCAAGATAACCTTTACATGGATTTGAATTTAACTATTCAGAGATGCCAAGATACATCATTGATTAGAGATAGCTTCTACATATAAGCTTATGCCAATATAGCCTCTACAGAAATGTCAAGATAAGCTTGAAATAGATGTCAAGATAACATACAGATTTGGATGCCAAGATAATGGTGATTTAGAAGTCAAGATAATGGTGATTTAGAAGTCAAGATAATGGTGATTTAGAAGTCAATATAACCTCTACATAGATGCAAAATGACCTGCTAATGACAAGAGATATCAATTTAACTTCAACAGAAATACCTAGTCTTTGCTACTGATTAATTTTACAACTGTTTTAAGAATTACTGTAGATCAACATATGACAATATTATCTTGATTTATTGTACTTGCTCTTGTATATCCACATTGGCATCAAACTACCACTACTACATAGATTGGAATATTGGCTTACATATAACCCTCTAATGTGTTAATGTGTGTCTGCTGTAAATGTTGTCCAAAGAGTTATTAAATACAGAATTGAGATAAAATCATTATAAAAGTAGATGAGATAAGCACTGGTTTTATTTATCATTCCTGAATTATACAATTGCTACATATTATGACTATATTTAATGGGTGTTAACTTTCTTCTATTGTAGGACAATTCACCCTCTTGTATTAGATGCTAACTATGTTATTTTAAAAAATCAAGTGATTAAGGGAGAAAGAAGAATTCTCAAAGAACTTGGTTTTTGTGTCCACGTTAAACATCCACATAAGGTGAGCCATTTTGTATAAATTTCAACTTGTTAACCATAAAGATGTGCATTTATGTCTCGTGATATGAATGAATATATCAACCCATGTAATTGATATTTTGTTATATTGTAGATTATTGTAATGTTTTTACAAGTGTTAGAGTGTCAAGAGGATGAGAGATTAGTACAATGTGCCTGGTAGGTATTTTATAATACAATTATTTTGTTTATCTTGTGAGATATTTTTAGATGGCCAGAATTATTTTAATGAGATATATCAAAACATTCTTTATATACTTATTAAGGTCTTGGTTATCTGCTGGAAGATTTGATAGCACACAAATGAAGGTGTTTGCTTCTTATCTTCTAGCAGGTACATCTTGTATGGCTTGTATCTTGATGGTATTTCTTTAGACGATATTAACATATTTTATATCCTTACAATAATGCTTGATAAGATATTATTCTTTGCATTAATATATTTTTTATTTTTGCTTACCCTAGCCTAGGAGGGTAAAGTTCACTCAGTCTCCCTAAATTATGATATTGGTGTCCTGGCTACCTGTACTTCACAAGCTCACCTGACTGGTCCTGAAGTAGTCAATCAGAATGGTACTTTCAAGGATATGACGTCTGTGATAGAGGATGGTGATGGAAGATTTCTCAATTAATCTTGGAGGATGTTTTGTGAATTAGAAAATGTGTTTTCTGTGTTTTGGTGAAAGGTTTCATTTACCACAAATAAGTTATTTACTTATTTCGTAAAACCTGAACTCTAGATAGAAAAACAATGTATATTGAATTAGCTGCCTAATTTAATGTCCTGTTTGTATTTGATGAATTTCTGATTATCATTTTAAGCTGTATTATTTAGCAAAAGAAAGCTTGGCCAGTCAGTGAGTGTACATAGGGTAGACCCAATTAACCAGTTGAAAAATTCATGTATGTCATGAAAATGGTAATGTATGTACATTTTTTATGTCTATAGTTGACAACTCTTTATTATGTAGCTTTACAATTTTCTTGAAATTTTTGAAAAAAAGCACTTGGAGGAAGTGAAGGCCTACTTTTCTGAATTCAGTCATTATCAAAATAATTAATTTCAAGAAAATTGAAAGTAATATTGTCTAAAGAATACCATTAAGAAAGTGCCATGTATTTTTATATGCCATAATTATTGTACATGGTTACATGTATATATATATATATTTATATATTAATAGGAACTATATGAATGACAGTTTTCGAACTGATGTTTTTGTAAGATATCAACCAGAAACCATAGCATGTGCCTGTATTTATCTGGCTGCTAGACAACTTAAGGTATGTGTGTATTAATATTTGTAAGAATAATACTAGTAAATAGTTGATCATTGGAAGTACTTGAGCTTTTTTTCAAAATAGAGTACATACCTAGAGGAATATACTGCGTCCGCTTGAGTACTTGTAAGGTGCAAATGCAATCTTTTTATACGCCCACATGGAAATATTGCCGTCACCCATGTCCATCCGTCCACAATTGCTCGTAAACACTCTACAAGGCACAATTTTGACAAAACTTGGTTTTATTATTCAGTACCGTGCTGTATGTTGAATATTTCATATCGGTGATTGTTAAATATTTTTATTCAAAATCAAAGCTGCCAGTGGGCGTATATTACCATGCCTGGCAAGCTATTTTAATGAAATTTGGTGTGATCATTTCTATTGATGAGATCCTGATCAAATTCGAATTTGATGATCTTTTGATGAACAGTTTTTGAGTTATTGTCCTTGACATAGATAAAATGCTTCAAAATTTGTTCATGAACACAATAGAGACTACAGATTTCATGTGATTTTGATGATGAATGAAATTAAATGAATAGAGTGTTACGTCTTATTTATATTGATGAGATCAATCAAAGTTTGAATTTTCAACGATTTCACTCTAAACGATTTTTTGCCCTTGATATTAGAGCTGTGTGATTTCAATAGTGTTGAAACGGTTAGTGAATTTTATGAACCAGGTAATCATCGGCAAAAACCGCCTTTGCAGCAGTATCTCACCGTTTACTAAACTAGAGTAAGTGTAAATGAATACCCAGGAAGATTATGGCTAGTTCTTGCGAATTGTCGGTACAAATCAACAGATACCTAACAACCCATTGAAGTGTCTGCTTAAAAGTAAGATTACGAGCGGGACTGACAGAGTTCAGAGGGACTGACGCCATTGCTACAGTCTCTAACAGATCAAAGGTTTTTATACCAGTTGTGGGGTCAATGTAATGAGTGTATCTTATTGAAGTTGTCACAACTTGTATGAAACTATTGTCTCAATGAATCCGTACTCATGAATATTAATAAGCTTGAAGCTGATTGACAGGCAAGAAGAAACAAACAGCTTTAAGACTCATACAGTGATGAAATTTCTGTCCAAATTGCTATCTTTTTACTTCTAATAAAATTGACGATTAACCGAATATCTCTGATTAACCGTTTCAACACTAGATTTTAATAATTTGATGTATTAAGGATATTGATATAGATTTTTTTTTAAATTTTGGAATTACTCAGCTGAAGTAACTGGCAGTAAATATATCATTGAATTCAAACTGATAAAATTTCTATAATATGAGAAAATTGGTACTTTTGTTACTAAACACTGTTTGATCATTTCTATAACCTTGCCTGGCAAGCTATCTTTTGAAAGTTAAGTTAGCTTAGATTTTTCAGACAATTTAGACTGAATTTTGTATTCTTTGTAGATAAACTTACCAACAAATCCTGAATGGTTTGGACTATTTCAAGTTGAAGAAGATGATATTCAAGAAATTTGTTTGACATTACTATATCTTTATTCTAGAAAAAAGGTATGCTTTTATAATTTGTTTGATTAAACAATATTCTAAGAAAAGTGTAGAATGTATTTCTACATTCATTTCACTTCTATGAAAAATGTTTGCATAAGTTTTATGGAAAAAGTTAACTCATTTGGCTTAGTGATTATGTGAGTAACATTTAACTTTTCAGCCAAATTATGAAGAATTAGAAAGAGTGGTAGAAAAAGCTAAAAAGCAACAACTTGAAGCTAAACAAAAAGCAAAAAGTTTAACATCAGAGTATGGTACACCTAATAGTTCATCTCGACATAGTGAGTTAGATTTCTTACTTTTCAGATCTAATATGAGAACACTAAATTCACTTAAATACATGCTATAAAAATAGTGTTAAAGGGATACTACGTCTTATAATACACTCGTCCTGTGGCTAATGTTTGTGTTTAATAGTGACCATTGGTTAAAAAAGTATGCATCCCACACTTTACCAAGTTTGAAAAAGCGACAATAAAATAATTTTTTAAAAAGTGAGCAAGCCATGAATCCGTTAAATTTTGAGAAAAAAAGAGTCTGGGTAATAAATGCTAAAACAGGATATAATCATCTTCCGGTGTATACATACAAACTTTGCCAATGATTAATATTCGTTGAAAATTGTGTCAGTGGTGGAGTATTCATTTTAAATTATATGAATTGCTTTTTCGCAGAGTCGCTTAATCTCCTACGAGGTATTATTATTCAGTCTTCAAAATATGTCTGACAATGTCAAGGTCAATTCAAGAGTAGACGTCAAGGACGCGGTAAACACCTCTTGAGAGTTACTTCCCCTTGTGATTACACCTGATTTCCTAGACTCACGATTTGAAAATCGCTTAATGGATGTATTAAGCATTTTATAATTAATTACTTGATTTTGTGGATATATCGGATTATAGAGGGATTTTGATGTATAGTTAAGACACCAGGTACGTTCACTGATGGATATATACTGTTTTTAGCCAAATTTGAGCAAAATTAAAATTTCATGTTCATCCCAAGACGTAGTACTCCATTAACTGGTTTCTCTAGAAAGTTTACTGTCCAAACTAGTAAATCTGAGAGGTATGGAACATCACATAAAAATATAGAAAATGAGAATGAATTATTGTATTTTTAGATTCACCGAAAAATATTAGCCCATCAGTAAATGTTTTACCTGGTATGAAACGTATTAAAATGGAAGACGAACCTCATTCAGACAGGTAACTATACTAATATACTTATGGTCATGGGGTATGCCATATTTGGGCTGTGGTTACAGGCACTTTTCTCTGAAGCCAAAGTGTTTCATGGTTGCAAATCATAGCAAAATATCTCAAATTGCAGTCTTAAATCAGTCTCCAATAGGTTAGAAAATGAAAATTTCACTTTCTCTCTGATTAACCTACAGGCTTGCTTGATTGTGTATGGTTTATATTTGTAGTGACAGAAATAATCGTAATGGAAAGAAAAGACATCGATCTGATAGTGAAGGTACAGATTCACCTCGACATAGAAGTAGATCTAGGTATGTACGCATAAAGCACATTTTCAAAGATAGAGTTCCTTTGTGTGAAAATCCAACTTGCCTAGCTAGCCTTTTAAGTGATTATAATATCTAAAGTATTTATTGTTACTTCAAGAATATATGAATAATGGTATTTTCCTATTTTCAGAACACCCTCATCTAGATCAAGCAGAAGTTTTTCTAGAAGCCCACGTAGAAGAAATAAATCTCCAAGAAAGTTAAAGAAAGAAAAACGATCTCCTGGACACTACCATAAAGATAAACATTCCCATAAGAAAAAGCGACGGACAGATTCACGAAGCCGTAGTCGTTCCTTCTCCCCTTCACCTAACAGATATAAAGAAAAACGATACCATAAAGAAAAAGACCGGTATGCTTACAGTCCTGATAGGTATACCCGCAAACATAGAAATGGTCATCGCAGTCCAAATAGGGACCGATATGACAAGTATGAAAAATATGATAAATATCGACGGTGATGATGTCCAAAGTTAGTTTATGTTTGAATGGGAATGGTGCAACTGAAAAGTCATAAATAAACATAAATAAGAGCTGTGATAGAAAAATATATCTGCTTGTATTGAAGATTGTATATATAAGTCATATATTTGAGTCACATGACTTCTAATTGTTCAAAGGTGAAAACTTTTTTTTTTTTTTAAGTCATAATCATGAACAATTTGTAAATTATGTTTTATGGAAGTCATTGTTTTTAATGTTTCCAAATCTACTTAATAGTCATCAAAATACAAAACTCCATAGTTTTGAAACTCATCATTTAACTACACCTTGATATGAAGATGTGGATCTATAGTCTTGTGTTAGTGCCTTTGTGGAAAGAAATTCCATTTATCTTGAAATGAGTGCTCATCATTTTATAGTATGTATTGAAATTTCTCATCTGTTTAGTTCTACATTCCCAAGAAATCTGTTGGTATTACAGCATTTAAAATTTCCCTTTCTGCTAGCTTTACCAGATTAGTGTAGAACTGAATTCTATTTTTAATAAATTATAAAGAAATTTGTTTTGCTATAAGAAAAAGCCTATTGAAACAAACTATGAAGATTTATGATTAAGATAAAAGGTATCTCAGGTAAAATTCTATCTTTATTATGTTGAAAACAAATACATACAGAAATATTGTATGATTAAATATGTATTTTATTTTGTAAATAAACACTGTAAATAACATCACAAGTTTCTTAATTCAACAAGCATTATATTAACATATTTTACATGAATGAAGACTATTCAATATTACTTATATTGGGGAAAGATTTAAATTGATAAGGTAGTGAATCTCTTGCTGTGTTAACAACATTAAGAGTAACAGTGTTCTTAAATACATAACTGATGATATAAAATCAGCTTTAAAAACTGCAGAAACATCATTTTTATATGTCAAAATTCATAGAATTGAGAGTGATATCGTATTTTTGATGAATGATAGATAAAATGAAGTAAGTTATTGGCATCTGATCAACATATATTACAACAATATTAGTGATAAAACCTTAATGGTGAAAATGATATGATTTTTATACACCCACATAATATAATGATGAGATCTTACAATTTTATTAAATTATGTGTGTTTGTTTAAATCAACAATATCTTGCACAAATTAGATTTTTGGTATGATTTGACACAGAGAGGTGACTGCCCTTGATATACTGAAAATGTATCAGGAATGTGGGCGTATCTTGCAAGGCAGCCACTTGTTCAATTAAAGTACCTATTTGGGGGTGTTGATTTGAGCCTTGAATATATATAATGTAAATAGTATTCAGAAGTACTAGAAATGTACGAATACCGCTAAATTCCTCAAAAATATATTTTTTTTTTCCATTTCTAAAGTTGTCATTTCTATATATCAGAGGGTCTCAAGAAAAGTCACTCTTCTTTGTAACTTTCAAACACAGATAATTCTGGACATATTTCGACGGTGTGCTGATCGACTTAACAAAAAAGATTCCCGTTTCTGATTGGTCAAAATGATGGCAAACCCATCCCTATAATTCTCCGACTCTTGTGTCTTCCCAGTAACAGTAAATTTTTAAGGTCATTTGGTATTATGAAGTAGCTGTTATTGAAAAGGAAATTTCAAAGTACATGCACTGATTTTCGACTTGAAACTGAAACTGGAAAGCACGGGAGTAGGTGTATCTCTTGTTTCCAGAAAGATTCCATTAAACATGACATCACTATATTAATTTGTTGATATTCTCTGCTAGTTTGGGTGGTTGATAAAAATGATCAGCATGTGTTTTTGTGTGATTTTGATGTATTAATGTTGAACATTTTTGACAAAGTAATATACCGCCATGACCATTGTCTGCAACAAAAATGAAATGAATGAATGTATTTGGTAAAGGAAAGGATAATACCGGTTTCAAATTAGAAATTAAAGTCTTAAAATCGCTGCTAATTCGTACTAAGAATGATAATTTTGTAAGTCTCTGTAAAAAAAAAAAAAAAAAAAAAAAAAAAAAAGGCGGATTTTGGTCAATTTGGTGAAGAAATTTGCCGTAGAAATCTCTCGTCCTAAGTAGTCTTTATTTCTGATGTTGCCCTAAAACCACAAAACTCCTCTCTAGCGGTTTATCCTCTCAGACCTATATAACAAAGATAGCTTGCCAGGCAAGGTAATATACGCCAACTGGCAGTTTTGATTTTATATGAAAACATTTGGTGGTACAGTAACAATCACCAGTATGATATATTCAACCTTCAGACATACACTTCTTTTGAACTTTTTGAGGCGACACTGAATAATATTACCAAGTTTCATCAAAATCCGTCAAGAACTGTGCCTTCTGGAGTGTTTATGTGCTAAAAATTGAACGCGTTTTCAAGAACAATGACAAAACTAAATAGTTTTCGATTTTTCTGATTTTCAATAGAGTTTATCCTTTGGTGATAACAATCACTCATGCCAAGTTTTGTCCAAATCTGTCAAGAACTGTGCCTTCTGGAGTGTTTACGAGCTAAAAATTAAACGCGTTTTCAAGATCAAGGGCAATAACCCATACTAAATATTTTTCGATTTTTCTGATTTTCAATAGGATTTATCCTTGGGTGATAACAAACACTCATGCTAAGTTTCGTCAAAATCCGTCAAGAATTGTTCCTTCTATAGTGTTTACGAGCTAAAAATTGAAAGCGTTTTCAAGAGCAAGGGCAATAACTCATACTAAATAAACTAACTAAACTGGGCGGACGGACGGACATGGGTGACGGCAATATACGCCCCCATTTCATGTGGGCGTATAAAAATATATCAAAAACAAATCTTTAATAACAGTAAGCGTTTGTCTTAATTACTGGAAACTTCATCCGGCCTGAAATTGTGCTATTGGTTACGTACCGTTTTTCGGACAAATTGGACAAACTACTGATCCTGTGTTTATTAAACAATGGAAACAGTTTTTATCTTCTGCTTTCACTAAAGTCTGTATATTACGGCAAGAAGGATGTGATCTGTCGTGACAAGGTGGACATAAACTTTCACCT